ATATATGAAGTGTCTTTCAACCTATGGTGAAAGAAGAAACAGAAACAAAGCCTACAATTGAATACTTTCGCTCAGAAGGGGATTCCTTTGTTTAAAATTCTAGGCATCCGTTAAAACGTCAGTGCCCTAGTAGTATGATCGGTTCAGAATCTTAAAACTGGTTTATTTCTTTCTCTCCCCATCTATCTTGAAGGAAAAAAAAAAAAAAACTGTGTCTAAATGTAGCAAGCTTGTGTGTCCATCCCTGCAGGCAAGCAGAACTAGGAACTATCATTTTCCGTTTGCAGGGCCTTGGAGAGCCACACGGGGGCGCACCCACGTTCCAGAAGCTGCGTTTGGCCCAGAGGCCGCGCGCGGTACCTTGTTTTTCCAATACTGAATTCAAATAGATCTCAGCCCGTTAGAATTAGGCGGCCGCTGAGGTGTTTGTTTGCTGTTTGTTTGTTCTAAGCAGCCAAGAGGTGTGGGAAATTATATAAAGAGGGAGGAAAGAAAGCAACCAGATTTCCGAGACAGGCGATCCCCTAATCGTTGTCTCCTCGAAGATTAAGGCTGTTGCAAAAAGCATACCTTGGTATAACCTGGTGGTGTTAAGGAGATGTTTTAAAGAGAAATATATGCATTTTGAAATCAGCCATAGCCACTGCGAGTTAATTCAATTAAGGGAAAATCGGTTTTGGCGTTAGTTTGCATTTGGAGATGGAAGTGAGGATAAGACTCCTTCCAAAAGCCGCGTTCGCCTTGAGAGACCTCTGACCGCCTGGGTTGATTAAAAGGCTTTTGTTTCAGAAAGAGCAGGGCGCCGGCATTCTTGCAGAGTGTGGTTTCGGGGAAATCGAGATGCGTTGAGAAACAAGGGGACTGTTCTAGGTGTGGAAGACCCCGGCAGTGCCTGGCGCTCAGGGCTGCCGGTTGCGATCCCGAGGCGCGGGCAGGGTTAGGGGTGGCGGCCGCGGCGGCGGGCTGGGCTGAAGCAGCTGCGGGAGGCGGCAGACTGTCCCTGGAAATGTTTACACCCCAAGGCGCTGCGCAAAGAGGAACGTGTTTGAGGCAACCGGGCTTTGCTTCTGACAAAAGCCTGGTCACCCTTCCAAACTGTCCCCAAAGTTTGATTTTGGTACCGGAAGCAGTGTTGCTCGCCCTGTGCACCCCCGGCAAGGCCTCTGACATTGGTGAAGTCGTGGGTCCCTACCTCCCCCCATTCTGCGGTCTAAAGGACAGTGACTGCCCCTTTCCCCCGCGAAGTTCATTGTGAAAGCGCCCTTAGCCCCCGGAATTAGCCTCGTCGACTCCACTGTTTCTGTCTCTGGCCCTCCAGGCCCTGAGCCAAAAGCCCCGGGGCCCGGGGCCACGGGTCCATCACCCCCCCACACCACCCCCCAGCTGACACGGGCTTGTGCCGGGACTGCAGCCCCGTGATTCCCCTGGTGAGGCACCGGCCACAGGCGAGGGTGTTCCCTGCGGACACCCCTGCTCCCGCTTCTCTGACAGCGAGTCCAGCTTAGCTATTGTGAAGCGACTCAGTCTACATGGGGTGAGAACACCCCCTCCCCAAATATCGTTGCGTTCTTTCTTAGGCGGCCCCAGCTGCGGCGCGTCTGGCGGTGCCAGGCCCCTTGGCCTTGGCCGGCAGCCGCCGGTGGACCGCGGCTGCTTGGTGGGTCTGCAATTCCTTTCTTCCCAGCATTTCCCACAATGGGCCTGAGAAGGGCCAGGGGATCAGACTTGACCATCCAGGGTGTGCGGACCTAGCGGAGGGTGACCACGGATCCTGAGGCCCCAAGGTCTCAGATCCTGAAGTGGAGGGAAAATGCGCAAAGTCAGTCTTTTGTCTGTAACGCATAGAGGCTCCGGGCGGCCGTTTGCCTTTTGCACATCTCCATAGACCCTGGTGTTGGTAGCTTCACCAGCCTCCGAGTTTGCCCCCTTGGTTTCTTTTCACCCTGGCTGGGAGGCGTATGTTGCAACCCGAAGGGGCGCTCTGGGAGCTTTTAATTTGTTCCCGGCCACCAGCAACCCTCAAAGAGTGGCCCAGCTCCCAGACCCCTCAGGGCCCTAATTCCGGGTGACCTTAGGAGCCTCCAGGTTTGCTTAGGCCCAGGACTGCCACTCTTCTTCCAAAAGATAGGAGAGCGCAGACGCAAGCCACTTCTTGATAACAAATGCTAATTCCTTGTGAAAGCGACCCTTTTAATTTTTCCCTGGAAAGAAGTGTGCCGGGAAGAATGGTGTCGTGGTACAAATATGAGTGTTCATCTCCTTTATGTGCAGTATTGATTTATTATTAATGGTAACTGCTCCAACTGATCTAAAGATGATCGAAAGAGCAGCTGCATTAAATACTCATAAGCAAAATAAGAGGCTGGCCTTTAAAGCTGCTGTCTTTTCATCCATTTGTTTCATCTCAGCTTTAAGGTCTTAGGGAAACTTTCCATTCCCCCCCCCCACACACACACACAAGCCTGGATCATTCTCTAGCATTATTTCCATCGTGATGGATGTTTTTATGATTAAAAAAAAAAAAAAAAAACTCTAACAAATTGGCAGGCTCGACCCTCAAGGAGACAGTCTGAAGATAGAAATTTGAAAAAATAATTTAAAAATACTGAATTTTGTGAGAATAGATTTGAAATTATATCTGATACATTCACGGGTGGTCTTTTATCCCCCTGTGACTGCAGAAGACTTGTTTAAGACCAAATCCAACATTGGCGTGACTTTGGGCTAGAAGGCCACTGGGAGTTGACACAGAAAGCTCCCCAAATTCAGGAGGCAGATCCTGCCTGCCCGCGCTCACTGCAGACCTACCCACTCCACTGGGGATAGGTTGTTTTTAGCCTAAATGTTTGCTTCATGTGTAAATAAAGATTATGGAAAGGCACTTGATGGGCATAAAATTCCTGATTAGATTGGACAACCTTGCCTCTCTGGGAATAGGGAGAACTGGGCAACCGCGTTCTAGGCAGCTAGCCTGGCCGAGATGCAGAGGGGAGACAGTGCTGAGGCACCAGGCTGCTGGGCGGGTGCCTGCAGGGAGCGTGTGCAGCGGGCACTTCGACCGGCCCTGGGCACGGCTTAGCCGGGCTTGGATCATGATCTCTGGGCTGTGAGAAAGCGATTTTCAGGCTCCGCTCAGTGGCTGTTAGCTTTGGGTAGGACATTAGCAGACCAGAGTCAAAAGTTGTTTTTTTTCTCCCTGCCTTACCACCCTCCACCTCAGCTTAAAAGCAGCCGCCCCTGTGAAAAGGTAATGTTTAAACCTCGGGCTACACCAGTATCCCCAAGCCCTGAGCAGTTAGAGGCGCCGGGCTTTTAACCTGACAATGATGTTGTATTTGAACAGCTGTGTAAAGGTTTAAGAGGTCTGTCTCATTGCCACCGTGGCGTTTTTAAAAGGGGTTATTGTTTGGGTTAGGGCTCTGCGAGGGGACAGGAGGGGACACAGGCAATGCGGTCCCAAGGCCGAAAATAATGTCCTGTGTCTGCTTCCACCAGGCCAGGGGAGAGTCCTTTTGGGGGCCGGGGGTTAAAGAGTTTGTTGGAAAAGGTTTTTGTGAAGGAACGGCCAGGGCTATTCCATCGCCCAGATTGCTGAAGCGCTTTAATGAGCTCAGCCACCAAAGCTGTGCTCTGCTGAGGCGGAAACCCGGTTTGTCCACAAGTTCAGCCACGGGGCCGGAAATCCAAGGCCAGGCCATGCCCAGCGTGGGGAGAGAGCTGGTTCACTGCCAGAGTCTCCGGGCCCTTTCCCTTCTGGGCTACCACAAAGGGAAGCCGGGAGGCCGGAGGATGGCTCCTGTGCCCTGGCCGGGGCCCCTCGCTCAGGGCAAGCCTTTGGAAATCAAGGTTAAAGCTCCCCGCTGATGCCCCGAGGCCGGGGCTTCCGCAGGGCCTCTCACTCGCCTGCAACCAGAGACTAAGGGAGGAAGTTGTTGGAGAAGTTTCTCGTAAAACTCCTGCTTTCCACGGTGGTGGTGGTTGCACTTTAATGAGCTCCACCACAGCCCAGACCAAATCCCTCTTTACATGCCTTTCCCTCGCCAAAGGAAACGGGGACCAAGGTGCCCCAGCTCCCTGTCCTCTTCCCCTTCCTCTCTTCACCAAGCAAAACCTTGTCAAATAATTTTAGGAATCATCCAAAACTATAAAACTCAACTTCTGACAAAAGTATAGCTTTTAATATTTGACGGTTTGTGTTAAAACAAAAATTGACCTTCTTGGTTAGTAGTGAAGGGGAAAAATCAATAGTATAATTTTCAATAATTCATAAAGCGAACGCCATTATGCTAAATCTTAACTATTAATCTTATCCTTTACAAAGTCTCGATTGATTTGTTAATAAAATATCTTCCCGTGTGTGGCAACAGCGGGTATAACTCTTTAAAAACCTTCAGAAGCAAGAAAATTACCAAGTAGCCCAAGAATGTAGATGAGAATTTTATTGATCGCCCTGATTCTTCTTAATATGTATTAATAAATTCCACAACCTTTTGTACCTTGCACTTGTCATAAACCAATGCTTTTACAAAATCCATAAAAGGAAAACATATTTTTCTTTGCAGAAGAACCAAATGACACCTTTGCATCTCTCTCCCTCTCGCTTGGCCCAGTCAGTTTCCTAAAACTTCTGCAGTCCAAGGACCAGTCTTTCCCCCTTTCCTTGAAAATGTCTTGTCTTCCTTCCTTCCTGCTCTGTATTATCAGGGTGTGAGGGGAAATCTTGGTTTCGTTCTCCCGCTGGGAGCTCGAGGGACTCTTTCGCGGATAGCGAACTGCTGGTGGAAGGACTGTCCCCTGACTGAAGGTTCTCGGCGGCCTGGCCCGCGGAGGTCGGGGCGTGGTTGCTCAGAGAACCCAGGGTTCGGGTAGCCCGCGGGGTCGTGGAGGGGCCGGGAGCCAGAGCAGGCAGGCCGAGGAGGAGGACAGCGCCGGGGCAGGGGTGCTCTTCGGGGCCGGCCAGCTTCGTGGCCTCTCGGCCCTCACGGCCCCTCTCAGCTCCGTTCCCCAGGACACTTTGGCAGCGTCTTTGCGCAGGGATTCTTTCCTTTGGGGCCCTGGGGTGGGATGTATCAGTGCTCGGCGAATTGGACTCACCTTCCCCGACTGCCCGGACCTAAATTAAGCAGCCTTCGCCCCCACCCCGCCACCCCGGCCCGGGGCCTCTCGGGCGCACTCTGCCTGGGTGTGTGCGGGGCATGCTTTGCTTCTGTGTGCTGGCGCCATGGCGCTCCGGTTTCCCTTCCCCGCGAGTGTCCTCTCAGAGGCCCCTCCGGCCGAGTCCTTCTTTCCGCCGGCCGAGCCGGGCGATCCGGGCGGAGGACGCGAGTGGGGCGTGCGGGCCGAGCTAGCCCGGGGGAGGCGGGCGGGCGAGCTGCGGCGAGCGCTGGTCGGGCTGTTTCCAGCGCGCACTATCGCGGGCGCGTAGTAGATGTCGCTGTTGTCCGTGCTTACGCGGCCGGCCGGCCGAGCTCCGGAGCACGTGACCCGCGAGGAGGCTGCGGCTCAAGGCCATTTTCAAATCTCATTGGCTTGGTTGTCATGTGGTCGGCAGAGGCATCCACAATTACACGGGGAATGTTTTCCTAGAGATGTCAGCCTACAAAGGACACAATCTCTCTTCTTCAAATTCCTCCCCAAAATGTCCTTTCCCAACAGCTCTCCTGCTGCTAATACTTTTTTAGTAGATTCCTTGATCAGTGCCTGCAGGAGTGACAGTTTTTATTCGAGCAGCGCCAGCATGTACATGCCACCACCTAGCGCAGACATGGGGACCTATGGAATGCAAACCTGTGGACTGCTCCCATCTCTGGCCAAAAGAGAAGTGAACCACCAAAATATGGGTATGAATGTGCATCCTTATATACCTCAAGTAGACAGTTGGACAGACCCGAACAGATCTTGTCGAATAGAGCAACCTGTTACACAGCAAGTCCCCACTTGCTCCTTCACCACCAACATTAAGGAAGAATCCAATTGCTGCATGTATTCTGATAAGCGCAACAAACTCATTTCTGCCGAGGTCCCTTCGTACCAGAGGCTGGTCCCCGAGTCCTGTCCCGTTGAGAACCCTGAGGTTCCCGTCCCCGGATATTTTAGACTGAGTCAGACCTACGCCACCGGGAAAACCCAAGAGTACAATAACAACCCCGAAGGCAGCTCTACTGTCATGCTGCAGCTCAACCCTCGCGGCGCGGCCAAGCCGCAGCTCTCGGTCGCCCAGCTGCAGATGGAGAAGAAGATGAACGAGCCCGCGAGCGGCCAGGAGCCCGCCAAAGTCTCGCAGGTGGAAAGTCCCGAGGCCAAGGGCGGCCTGCCCGAGGAAAGGAGCTGCCTGGCTGAGGTCTCCGTTTCCAGCCCCGAAGTGCAGGAGAAGGAAAGCAAAGGTCGGTATGAGCAGAGTTGCCACCCATCCGGGCGCGCAGCCCGGGAACTCGGCGGAGAGGGAGCACCCGGGTGCCCTGCGCCAAGCCCAGGCAGCCAGGCGGGCGCCCGACTCGGCAGGTGCTGCTCTGTTCGGCTTTTCGAGGGGGCGATCCCCGCCCGGAGATGGTCCCCGCTTCTCTTCCGCTGCCCTGGCCCTCCCCGCCAGCCCTGGCCCCACGCTGATGGCGCCCGGACAGAGAGGGAGGGCTTGCCGGGATTTTATTTATTTTCCTGAGCTAGACCTGAAACGCAACAAAAGAGTACGAAGGAGCCCTGCGGCTCGTAAACACAGCCCCAGAGCCTCTTTCCTCCCGCTCATACTCGCACCCCCAGCTTTGCCTTTTGCCCAATGGTGATTTTACGGCGGTTCGAGGCACCGTGTTTGTGTTCCAATGTATGCACCCCGCGTCCTGCGAGCCTGGTGCAGGGTGGTAGGGGCGGCGAGGGGCGGGAGATGGCTGAGCCAGGTCGGTGCTTGGGTTGGGGTACAGGGCTCCCAGGGCTGGGTAACCTTGGCTTTGTCTGGGAAAAGTGCGGTAGGCTTTGCAATCTGTCCGCAAAAGGGGCCAAGGCAAGGGGGCGAATGGGACCAGCATCGCCCACCCTCAGGGCCAGCCTTAGGGCTAGGCTACGCTGAAGAGCAGAGCTGTGGCTTTTTGAGAAGGAATCCTGCCCTTGAGCCTCTCCCCTGGTCCCCAGAGGTGAGCCACATTATGGGCTCCATTTCTGGGAGGGACGCTTTTGTGAGGGTCTGAGAAGGCTTGGGAATGCAGGAAGTCGGGGAGAAGGCAACAATGCAAGGCTGGGCGGAGAAGGTGAGCTAGCGTCCTCAGTTGTCTTCTGAAGGAGAATGGGCACCTGGCGAGCTGGCGGAGGGTTCCCCGCCTGTCCAGGAGAGGTGAGCAAGAAGCGGCCGACTGGGCGACCTGAGGCCGCAGTGGGTTTAGCAGGCTTGCCTTGAATGTGGCTCTGTCCGCTATAGCCTTCTTATGCTCTGACCAGTTAGCATGTTGCTTGGGAAATCTTGGAAAGTTTACTATTGTCCTAACATTGTGTACAAGTCCCTAAGTGGGGAGAGCGAGCACCTTGACGCAGAGGGCTTGTGTGCCTCCCCTTGTGTCATTCTGAGTATTCAGCTTTAATCTGGCCTCCATTGAAAATCCCTTCCAAGGCCCACCTCGTGTGAGTGATGTTTAATATCAGCATATCCCAAAGCAGCCTGGCTGCCAGCGGGGTCATGGCCAAGGGTATGTTTGAGCAGACTGAGAGAAAAAAAAAAAAAAATCTTGATTTTTTTTTTCTTCTTCTCCCTTTAATTTTGTTAGAGGAAATCAAGTCTGATACTCCAACCAGCAATTGGCTCACTGCAAAGAGTGGCAGAAAGAAGAGGTGCCCTTACACTAAGCACCAAACGCTGGAATTGGAAAAAGAGTTCTTGTTCAATATGTACCTCACCCGCGAGCGCCGCCTAGAGATCAGTAAGAGCGTTAACCTCACCGACAGGCAGGTCAAGATTTGGTTTCAAAACCGCCGAATGAAACTCAAGAAGATGAGCCGAGAGAACCGGATCCGAGAACTGACCGCCAACCTCACCTTCTCTTAGGTCCGAGAGAGGGCGGAGGCCGGGATCGGAGAGGGAGCATTGCGTTCCGGGGTCGAGTGCCGAGTACCAGAACTGGGAAGGCGGAAACAAACTCTTCATTGCTCTTTGTTTTTTTTGTTTTGTTTTCCCGCTAGAATGTGACTTTGGGGTCATTCTGTTCGTGCTGCAAGTGATCTGTAATCCCTATGAGTATATATATTAAAAAAAAAACCTAGCACGTGTAATTTATTTATTTTTTTTCATCGTAATGCAGGGTAACTATTACTGCGCATTTTTATTTGGGTCTTAACTTACTGGAACTGTAGTGGCCTCCATCCATCTATCCATCTATCCATCCATCCATCCATCCATCCATCCATCCTCACCCATCCATCCAGCAATGTGACTTTATCATGTTTTTCCTAACGCAAAAGGTCTGTGTGTGTGGCTAGTCCATGATCTCATGGCATTTTAAATATACATCCAGTACTTCACAAAAATACATATATATGTATATATACATGTGTGTATATATATATATGATTAAGAAAACCCACAAGCTTTGGAGGGAGGGGGACTAAAAAAGCACATTACAATGTATCTTTTCACAAATGAATTTAGCAATTGTCTTTGGTGAGATGGAATATTGACGACTTATGCTTGTAGCCTTTTCCCTGTGGTGCATCTGTGGTTTGATAGAAGTACAACAACAACTTGTCCTTTCTGTGCATGTTGTTCTGGTCGCATGTATAATGCAATAAACTCTGGAAACGAGTTTGCTCCCTCTGCTTTCTGAAATAGAAATCTGTTAGGGTGGAAATGAAAGCCTTGTGTGAGATTCTCTTCCTGTTAAACTGCCTGTTTGCAGTGGGTGGGGGGCGGTGATAAAGAGCAGAGAAAAGGAGATGGGATCCTGAAGCTGGCGGAGGCCTGGGGTCTGGGAATTTGGCAGTGTTTTTTTTTTTTTTTTTGGGGGGGGGGAGCCAGGGGAGGGAACAGTGATAATCGGACCTGCTAGTGCTCTTTTCATAGCTGGGGAAGAAGGGTGCTCTCTCCTCTCCCACTCTGCTCCTCAAAGTTAGTCACATAGTTGTCCTCAAAATGGCTGTGGGCTTCCCTCCAGCCACCTCCTGGTAAGTATCCCTGGACCCCAAATCACTTTTTCTGTTTTCCTCCAAGCTGCCTGATTTGTGTCTGCTTCCTTTTGGTTTTGGGTGTGTTATTTTTAATCTTTTCAGTGGGGTCTTGGCAATTTCTGGCCGGCACACCATTGTCAAGGGCCAGGGTGAAACCAGTTTTGCCCACCTGGAAGCAGCCAGGCCACCATTACAGGCACAAGGACGAACAGCAGCTTAGCGTGGCATCAGATCCAATTCAGCCCCCCATTCCCCTTACCCCCACCTCAACTGAGAGCAAGATAGCCAGGCCCCAGCGCAGCCGAGGATGGGTGAGTTTTCCATCCCACTTTGCCTTGGGTTCCTTTCTGTTGTGCCATTACCCTTCAGTGGCCCACATGATTTTTTTTTTTTTTTTTTTTAAGGAAGAGAAAATTCTTCCCAGTTACCCATCTCCCCATTTACAAAACACCACAAGTAAACAGGAACCACTGTATATGGAGGCAAGGGAACGAATGAAGAGTGGCTGAAAGTGAATTTGCAAATGGACATGACTTTCCATAAAGTTCAATGTTCCAGCCACTACCATAGCTGGGGAAATTGGGCCAGCCTTCCTGGGCTTTTACAAGATCAGCCCTGGAGAGCAGACTGATTCCATGCTGCCGCATTGAAGGGAGGAGAAGCTTGGGGAGAAGAGCTAACAGAATTTGTTGCCCCAGGTCCCTCTGCGGTTTCAAAGGGTCTCTGCTGTCATCAGCCAGTTTCACAAAACAGGTCCTTTACATTTTTCCTCTTTTTCTAAAAACAGCCCATTTAGGTGCTCTAAGCCTCCAAGCTCTCCTGGGAGGAAGTCTTGAGACATTTATTTTGAGCTTTCTTCTGAAAAAGAGAGTCCTTCCTGAGTTCTATAGGGGGGCTCCCAGTTCTTGGGAGTTGAAGTGAGAGGCTGGGAATCAGTGCCAAGCCAGGAACACTGAAATTCATCTACCCTAGGCTTCCTTTGGTTGGGCAGGGAAAAGATAATTTTAACTTTGATGTTTCTTCCAGTGATGTGGGGAGGGCCATTAGTTGGTGACAGGGGGCCATGTTTCCGAGGAAAATCCGTACTTTAAAGGCAAAGGCAGCCCCTGTGGAACAAAATCAGAAAGCCATGGGCAAAGGCCATCAATCAGGCTGTAAGTAGCTATTTCCCCCTTCCTTTCCGGGGATCGAGGTGGCCCGGGAGCGCTCGGTGGGTGCACTGGGCAACTTGTAGAGCGAGGAGGATGCTCGCAGCCGCTGGCGCCGGGGCCGCTTTTGTCTTGGCTCCCAGCCGAGCTTCCAAGGCTTTGTACCATGGATTTGGGAGTGACAATGGGCATCGCCCTCAGATTCAAGGCTGCCCAGTCTTACTTCTGGAGGCAAAAAAAAAAAAAAAACCACAAAAAACAAAAAACAACAACAACAAAAAAAAAAAACACAATCGAAATGGCCCCAGGACCAGGCCATGCGGCGGGATTTTTCAGACATCTCCGGAGTCCACTTGGAGGTCCCTAAGCTCAGGAAGCCACCCTGCAGGGGAAAACACAGCCTCTGCGCGCCTCACTGAGGCAGGACTGGGACACGGGTGGGAGCGGGCCCCCACACTGGCACTTGGGCTCTGTCCTATGGCGTGTTCTCTTCCAGGGCCTTCCCAGGAGTCGCAGAGGAGACGAGCACCCTGGCCGCTGCCGCCCGTGTGGTGCTGATTCACCGCCCGCCAGCCCTCGGGAGGGTAGAGAAGCCCCAGCGGTGGCCGCAGCCGCCCTCGCTGAGTTCGGCCCCGCCCGGCCCAAGGGCCAGGCCGTCCCAGCTCAGCCCTCGGGCCCGCGGCGTGTGCCCAGCCTCACGTCGGGGGTGTATGTGGCTGCGCGCGCGTGTGTAAGTGTGGCAGGGGGAGGGGGCCCTCCGAGCTGCTCCATCCGTCCGTTTTATTAGGGACACATTAATCTATAATCAAATACACCTCATAAAATTTTTATTGAAAGGCATAATATCATTACAGAGGTCTTCCACCTGTTTTAAACAACACGACAAGCTGTGAGAGAGTGAGTGTGTGTGCATAGGGGGGATGGGGATTGGGTAGGGAGAGAATCGAGGGGAGAAGATCCCCCCTTGAGCGCCAGGGGGCCGCTTCTGCCCTGGGCCGCCTGGCCCCGCGCGCCGGGCTGCTCTGGACTCTGGCGAAGCTCTCTGTGCGCCCGGGACGAAAGGCGTGCTGCCCGGAGCCCAGGAGAGTCTAGGAGCCGGGGAGCCAGCGTCGGGGGTCCGGACTGCAGGACCGAGGGCGTCCGGAGAAGGCGAACAAATAGTCCCCAGCGCCTCCTGCGGCCCGGACTGGGCCTGTTGTCCCAGCCGCCACCCGGCGGGCGGGCCGGGCCGGGCCGGGCGCAAGAGCCGCGGCCGGAGGCTCTAATTGCGGCGCTTATGTTGATGATTTTTTTTTTTTTTTTTTTTAAATCACAGCAGCCCCCAGTTTAGCGGACTGATTTACTCCGGGTATTGGTAAATATGATCACGTGGGCCGCGCGACCAATGGTGGAGGCTGCAGCCTGCGAACTAGTCGGCGGCTCCGGCGCCGGAGGGGAGCGGCGCGGCGGCGGGCAGTGTAACCTTGGGTGGGAGCGCGCGGCGCCTCAAAATGTCCTCCAGTGGCACCCTCAGCAACTACTACGTGGACTCGCTCATAGGCCATGAAGGCGACGAGGTGTTCGCGGCGCGCTTCGGGCCGCCGGGGTCCGGTGCGCAGGGCCGGCCCGCAGGTGTGGCCGACAGCCCCGCCGCCGCCGCCGCCGAGTTCGCCTCGTGTAGTTTTGCCCCCAAATCGGCCGTATTCTCCGCCTCGTGGTCCGCGGTGCCCGCCCAGCCCCCGGCGGCGGCGGCGATGAGTGGCCTCTACCACCCGTATGTGCCCCCGCCACCCCTGGCCGCCTCCGCCTCCGAGCCTGGCCGCTACATGCGCTCCTGGATCGAGCCGCTGCCCGGCTTCCCGG